TTTTTTGGCCACAGAGTCTCACTTTGTCGCCCAGGCTGGAGGGCAGTGGTGCAAACTCAGCTCACTGCAGCCTCCACCTCTCGCGTTCAAGCGATTCTTGTGGCTCAGCCTCCCGAGTAGCTCGGATTACAGTCGCCCGCCACCACGCCCGGCTCATTTTTGTATTTTTGATAGAGATGGGTTTCCACCATGTTGGCCAGGCTGGTCTCGAGCTCCTGACCTCAGATGATCTGCCCGTCTCGGCCTCCCAAAAGTGCTGGGATTACAGGCGTGAGCCACAATGCCCTGCCGAGTTTCACAAACTTCATCTCCCATCCTCTAACCCCCACCACGGGGCCAACTTCATCAGCCCAATCTCAATGCATGCCACAGAAATCTGGCCTCCTTTCCCAGACTCCTGTCCAGCCCCAAGCTCCATCAGGGAAAGCAGACATCCGGTCCCAAAGACAAGACCTCAAAACCCAAGGGTCCTGAGAATCGGGCCCTCCCACCCCTGACGCTTGCCCCTCCCCAGAGCCCCATTCCAAGAGTTTCTCCTCTCAACTCTGGGAGGGAGCCCCTGATGATGTCTGTCTGAGGGGATTGGGTGGGGGCCCAAAGAAAGAGGAACCGGAGTGCCTGGGCCCTCCCACTGGCGGCGGACCTCAGCTGGGCGCGGTGAGAGTGGGTTTATAAAAGGGTCAGTATATATTGCGAGGAGGAGAGAAAGAGAACGGGAGCAAGAGAGAAGGCGGCCCAGACAGTGAGGGCAGGAGGAAGAGAGGAGAGGCAGAAGGAGAGCGAGCGAGAGAGAAAGGGTTCCGGATTGGAGGGGAGAGCAAGGGAGGAAGGCGGTGAGAGAGGCGGGGGCCTCGGGAGGGTGAAAGGAGGGAGGAGAAGGGCGGGGCACGGAGGCCCGAGCGAGGGACGAGACCGACTCCAGCTCTGACTTTTTTCGCAGCTCTCGGTAAGTTTCCAGTCCGTTATTCAGGGCTGGGACTTCTTAATTTACTTGGGAATGTAGCAGTTTGGGAAGGACACCCCCAGGCTGGGAGAGACGCCCCTTACTCTTGGAAATCCCTGTCATTTAATAAGTGATCTCTTAGCACTTGAGGTGGGGATATGGGAAGGGGTGGGGCCAGCAAAGTTTTGGGGTCCCAGCAGAACCCTCCACCGAAAACTTCCTGCAGTTTTTTCCTCAGCGGTGTCCACTGTCCTCTGAGGGCCCTGAGATCAGGGCATTGCATGAGAACACCCCAAATCTGGGAGACCTCTAGGTCCCCTGTTCCTGGGCACCAAAGGGTCCTGGGAGGCTAACTCCTTCTCAGGCCTCTCTTCCCCGCAACGCGAATCCCATCCATTTCCTCCAGAAGATGTCCAGCAGTCACCAGTCTGGCAGCAGGGTGGGGTGAGGACCTCGTGGACATAGCCAGAGGCTGGGGTTTCCCTGGTGCTTAGAGATGGGGGGGAGCAGGAATGAGTCACCAGATGACTCACCAGGTCCCCCTCCTCCCCTCACCCCAGGAGAGGAGTGGTGTGAGTCAAGGATGCCTGTCGCTGGGGACAGCTCCTCCATCCTGATACATCAGGGTTTGGGGCGGGGGTCTCAACTTGAATTTTCACCATCTGGCCTGTATGTAACCCAGAGACAGGGTTCTGGGGAGAAAGGAGTCACATTGTGAGTCCTCCTCATTCAAGGACCCCAAGAATCCACCTCTGGCCCTCTCCACCCCTCCAGCCAATGGGGAACTCAGGAATCCAGGCCCCAGCGGCCTCCTCCCTGAGAGACCCAGGAGTCTGCACCCAAGCCCTTCCTCCATCAGGAGACATCTC